TTTGTTTGTTGTTTTAGGAAATGTTTGTCATCCTTCTATCCACGAGTAATGAAAGAGAGAGCTTGATTTAGCGCCGTACTTTTCTTCATAATACATTCTAAACATTATTGTTGGGCAGAAATATCTGCTCATCGCCTAGTCAACATCTGCATGTTTCTTTCTGGACCGGAGAATGCCAGCATTCACGGACAAAATCACTTCAGTGTCTGATTGTCCGATTGATTGAGTAATTGGCTGACTGTCAAGCCCATTGATTAATTAACTAAATAACTGAATTATTTACTTACTGATTTAATAAACAATTGATTGATTGAATAAATGACCAAATGGTCAATTGACTGAGTAACTTGCCCTTCTGAAAAAGGGCAAATGTCACTTGCTCTTCTTTCCTGCCTCCGCCTGATTCCGTTCAGGCAATCTCAGACCTCGGTTATTACACAAAGTTACATCGCGTTATATCTTTTCATTTCATACAATCATCTTTGTGTTCATTTGCTCGTTCTATTCTTTCATATGCTGCTCAATCTAGACGGCAATAGGCACTTTGATTGTCATTACTTGCATTCTGTACATTTTCACTTTCCCCGTCTGGTGTAGCATCAGCCCAATCTGGCCGGGCGGTGCCAAATAAATGAGCCATTTCTCCTGCCCACCTTCACCGAATTACAGGATATGTCCATAATGTAATGCCAAGGTCAATGTGGCAGGATTTGAGGTATCCTTTGGGTTGCTTTTCAGGCCGTCCTCATTTCGGCTTGTCTCAGGTTGGAAGGGGTTATGAGGTTATCTAAATTGCCCATAAGAAACTGACGCCAGATTTTGCCTCATCTGCTTTTATTCCCAAACGCCATTGTTCCTCGCGTCCTTTGCACTGTGTATGCGTGTGTCTGTCATTGGGCGAGCTGTCGTCTGTTCATTCGTTGGATGCCTATGATGAGATGGAGATTAGGGCCTAAACGTACTTTTATGTCTCTTATTTCAACTAATCTGTGTCTCGAGTTTTGACTAATCATTATAGCCCTTTATGAGCATAAAAGAAGTGTACTTTTGTTAAGCAGCTTCTGAAACCGTCGGCAGAACTCGACGAAATCTAACTTGCTAATTGTGCGCTGAGCATGGATATTGGATTCTGCCGAAGTTGGTTTCTTCACACTTCGACTCACTGAAGCTTTTCCCATCCGGACTGGGCCAGGTCGAAATTACACTTCCCTCCTGCCTGGATGAGAACAAATTTTGGGAAAGCATGGCACTATGAAATTCAATGTAAACGTCAGATTTACTCATATTATTGTGCAAAAATTCTAGTATCAGTCCTTCAAAACCCTGAACGAAATAGGGTTGATACATCTCATATTGCTGAATTAGTGGTAGTCTCGAAAAGCTGCGATTTCAATTTCCCATCATCGCTTTATCCGCACTCACAAGCGTATTCGCAACCGGATCGCGTAGTATTTCACATTCCACTGGCGTCATTGGATCTCAGGACAGATGCGACCTTCAAGACAATCCAGGCCTCTACAATTTACACTTTTGGTCCATAACTGATGTCTAGGCATTGCAAGCTGATCTACTGATAGGCACTTAGTAGTATGATAGATTGTGATTGTAGATATAAATTTGATTCATTTTTGGTTAATACATAGGCTTTCGAGACTACCAGATGACCATATTTATGAGGTGTATTCACCCTATTTCGTTTAAGATAATAAGGGAAATGGTATTCGAGTGTTTCCACAACAATAGGAATAGATTGATTAAAAGTATGAAGAAAAGTTGGGTTTCGAGGAATCTCTTGTTTCATAGTTGTTGGGATTACTTCCATTTCGAGTAGGTGAGCTGTGCAAATAAATATGAAGAAAAGTTAGGTTTCGAGGAATCTCTTGTTTCATAATTGTTGAGCTTACTTCCATTTCGAGTGAAAGTGTTTGGTTAGATATATGGATGACTACTTTGCTATTTGGCAGCATGGCAAGGATAGTTTAGATAATTTCTTGTGTT